GGTAAATAAATTTACATTTATCATTTTATGTCTCTGAAATATGCCCAAATATTTAACCTTTTAAAAATTAATTAATTTTTTTTTTGTAGGAGAGACCAATGGAGTCGAAGGCTCAAAACAGAATCATCACTTGTATGGATTTAGACCAACGAAGTTGTTTGTGTTTGGAGATTCTTATGCTGATACCGGAAACATCAAGAAGTCTCTCTCTTATACTTGGAAATTTCCTTACGGAATCACTTTCCCCGGAAAACCAGCCGGTCGTTTCTCCGACGGCCGAGTAGCCACCGATTTTCTTGGTAAACTCTCTTCTTCCTCTTCACAATCCTTAAAACTATAAAATACCAATCTTGCTTTCTTATCTCAATATTTCTAAATTAAATCTCTAATCAATTTTATTGACCAACTTAGTAAAAAGTATACTCCTGTAATTTACCTGACTGACTTTTGTTTATGAGTTAGTATTGGTACAATTATACCTGATTAGTATGTGGAAATGGGTAAAATGATAAATTAGTGTTAGGTACCTAACTAATCGATGTTTTAGCTTTATTTAAAATTATAACAGCATGTGTTGATTAATATTAGTATAATGATGTTTGTGTGTGAAAATAATGATGCGTAAGTATTAAATAAGGTCCAAAAAACAATGATGGAGGAGTGGTCTAGTGTCAATCCAGTGCGCGCGACTCACTTTTGCTTTTCTTTTTTTTCCTTGCCATCTTCTTCTTGTATTTTGCTTTTTATTAAAGTGGTTTTTTCACTTTCTTTTCTCTTTTATTTATCTTATAAAAACTATTTTTATTTTCCTTGTTACTAGTATGAACTATCCTATAAACCTCTCTATTCTAACAATTTTTTTCTATGTGTAACTAAAACGAATATTTCAGTTTCGTTTTCTTGTGTTAGTGTTTTTACATTTTGTTCCAAAGTTTAGTGATGATATATCCAATAAACGTTTTTTTATATATTTACTATTTGTACTTGAAATAGATGGCTGGTTGGTAATGGAATTTAGTTCGACTATTTGCCTTTTGTCAGTGCTTCGTCAAATCCTTGTTGTATTGTTGTACATGACCAGTGTCCTTTCTCTCACGTGGTACTCTGTTTAACTTCA